ATGGTGAAAACTCTTTCATCACTGTATGTGAAACATGACTGACAATAAAAGCTGAGATAAATTGCGTTTGGCAAGAAGATTTAAAAAAAAAAAAATATCGTTTAAGGCATTTTATAGCAAATTGCCACTTGACCTTGACTGGTTCATTTAAATATCGCCACCCCTTAGGATCCTAGCGTCGATCCAACGATTACTCAACATAACTCCAAGATGGGCTACGGCTCGAAGTATACGCATTAAACTCAAGATATAGCACAAAGTCTTACCTCAGATATTGATATAAGTTGCCCTAGTATTAGTCTGTTAGAAATGTACCGGGAAACAATGGCGGCGGCGATGAGTGAACTTTCCAATTATACTAAAGTTACTTGACAAGGCATGCGTTTATGAAGCGGACTTCTGAAAATCTCAATCATTGCTAACTTCTTAGAATTTTATGCTGCACGCCTTTTGAACACAGCAACACGGCTATGCATAATATACATACACATAGAATTATTATTTATGATTTTACAAGTATTTTTCGAATAGGTGAGGAGTACATCGAATTCCTAAGATGACAACAACATGATTGTGACCCATTTCTTTATGTTAATATTCTCCACGTCACTGAAAAGAGTTCAGAAACAAAGAAAAAAAAAAGACATAATCTTACATTTTTTAGCTTGAGCGTTGACATAATTTTCTACACCGCAAGCCGTTGCATTTCAACGTACCCCCACCCCCCCCTTTTTTTGTTGTTCTGATATTGATATCATCCATTAAGTGCGTAGTACTGTACCAACCCAAACCTCTTCCTTGATCGGGATAAGTTATGTACTATTTGCTCTAAAGAAAGCATTCGAGCGATGCAGTTTCTATAATTTCCTTTATGGAGGGTTCTATCTCAGTCCCAATAAATAAGGCGGCAGCTTTCCCAGCCGGAAGAGAGATTTTTGCTGTATTTCCTATAAAGATGACAAAGAAATACACTTATAGGAGCCTTACAAGATTGTATCCTTTGTGTGTGTATATATCTTAGAGACCGATCGAAAGTGATTTTCTGATTTCGGCCGAAAACGAAAAAGGCCGAAAGTTAAAAAATGACTTTCGGCCAAAACCGAAGCCGCAACCTAAAATGAAATATTTAGATATTTTGAAATTCGTTCCCGCATACATTCTGCATACATGGAAAATGATGGGAGAAAGTATAAGTATTTACATTCTTTTTATAAAAAATGAGATAATCGTGAATATCAATAAATAAACATCTAATATAACATCTTTTTGTTAAAGATCGTTTAATTTGTTCTTAAATATCGCTTAGTTTGTTGTGAAAGATAGTTCAGTTTTTTGTTAATGATCCCTTTATTTGTTCTTAAAGATCGCTTAGTTTGTTTTGAAAATCTTTTATTTTGTTTTTAAGATCACTTAGTTTGTTCTTAAAAATCGCTTAGTTTTTGTTTTAAGATCCTTTAGTTTGTTATTAAAGATCATTTAGTTTGTTCAAAAAAGATCGCTAAGTTTCTTCTGAAAATTCGCTTACTTTGTGCTATTAACAGATCATTTAGTTTGTTCATAAAGATCGCTATGTTTTTGCTTAAAGATCATTGATTTTGTTCTTAAATATCGCATAGTTGTTCTTAAAAATCATTCATTTTGTTCTTAAAGATCATTTAATTTGTTTGTAAAGATCTTTTGGTTTGTTATTAAAAATCGTTTAGTTTGTTATTAAAAATCATTTAGTTTGTTCTTAAAGATTGCTTATTTTGTTGTTGAAGATCGCTTAGTTTTTCTTATAGATAATTGATTTTGTTCCTTAAGATTGATTAGTTTGTTATTAAAGATCTTTTAGTTTGTTCCTAAAGAAAATTTAGTTTTCTGTTAAAGATGGCTTAGTTTATGCTTATAAATCATTTAGTTTGCTATTAAAGATCATTTGTTTTGTTCTCAAAGATCATTTAGTTCGTCCTTAAAAATTGCTTAGTTTGTTCTTTAAGATCGTTTAGTTTTTTATTAAAAATTGCTTAGATTGTTGTTAAAGATCGCTTAGTTTGTTTTAAAAATAGTTTAGTTTGTTCTTAAATGTCAAGTAGTTTGTTGTTAAATATCGTTTAGTTTGTTCTCAAAAATCGCTTAATTTGTTCTTAAAGATCACTTTATTTGTTTTTAATGATCGTTTAATTTGTTCTTAAATGTCACTTAGTTTGTTGTTAAATATCGCTTTTGCTGAGAATTAGATGACTGAAACCTCAGTCACTTTCGGCCGGATGGCCAAAAGTCCAAGTCAGTTTCGGCCGAAACCGAAAAAAAAAAGAAAATAAACTTTTCTCTTTCGGCCGAAACCGAAATTAAGCCGAAAGTTAACTTTAAGTTTCGGCCGAGACCGAAACTTGGCCGAAAGTGATAAAGTGACCACTTTGGGCGCCGAAACTGAAGCCGAAATTCGGTCGGTCTCTAATATATATTAACTTTTGCATCTTTCAAGGATTATATCTTTTCACTGGCTGAGCTGTAAGTTAATATAATTTTATTTATGTATATTTCATTTTTGAATTTTTATCCATATTTAATAGTATAAATAATTAAAGATTGCTAATATCACTTGCTTTGGTTCCGTGTTGACAAGAATTGTAGTATAACAGGACAGGGTAACAGGATAAGTCTGTTAGTCTAACAGGCCTGTTTACCAGGATAAGTCTGGTAGTCTAACAGGACAGGGTACCAGGATAAGTCTGGTAGTCTAACAGGACAGGGTACGAGGATAAGTCTGGTAGTCTAACATGATAGGGTACCAGGATAAGTCTGGTAATCTAACAGGACAGGGTACCAGGATAAGTCTGGTAGTCTAACAGGACAGGGTACGAGGATACGTCTGGTAGTCTAACGGGACAGGGTACCAGGATAAGCCTCTATTTGGTGCTGAAGGACAACCATGGTTTTAACCAAGTGTTCACTAATGCCTATACTTGAATTAATTATCTGGTAAATGCTAATGCTTCGGGTAAGTTTGTTCCGCTTATAAGGCATGAACTGGTTTCAATTCCAATGTATTCTCTCTGATTAAAACTGTAAAATACAACTAACCCAACCACATACCTTGTACCGAGGCGCCTAAAATAAGGCGTTAGGTGAAGATGCTGTAAATTTGTTCATCTACTGTACGCTGTTCCTTGATTTTTAATTTCTCTGTACTTCTTTCCTCATTTCATATATTTGAATATATGTTATCGTGATAATTTATGGTAGGCACCTTGCGATAATTTCAACCTGCTATGCTATTGCGAAAAGGCGCTTAGCCTCATTTCAATATGAACAGCCAACAACAACAAAATCAAAGCAGGTCCTGTTGGAGACCTGGCCCATAGCACTGCTACCTCATAAAGACATTAACAACTGTCCGTTCGTCGCATTCAAATTCGAGGTGGACCATAAATTTACATGCAATTAGTAGACAGTGTTACAACGCCAAGGAGAATTTAGCACACCTGCAGAACGGGCGTCCTGAGGTTGTGTGCAGAAAGGGGGGTGAGGTTGTCAGGGTTAATAAGGACTAAACCAACATGGGGCAGCATGGTTCAGACAGACTTCAACTTAAAGCAGTCTCTCTTGTCAAACAGTAAGCAGACGAGAAAAGGAGTCCAAAAAAAAAAAAACTGGAACATATACAAATAATAACTTAAAAATTATTTTCAAACTTTAAGACAAAGTACTAACACTCAATGGTGAAGTTACGAATGTGTTTAAAAACTTTTCAATCCTTGATCTTGTTTTAATGGTTTAATATTTTATCTACTAATTTGAAGAATAAATGATAAATACTGTGAAGTTACAAATGTTATCAAAATTCAATGAAATGTTGTTTTTTTTTTGTAGAAGAGTATAAATCAATGTCTCCAGTGGAACATACAAATGCGGTTCAAATCTTTGAGTCTTTCTTTTTTGGTTCTCATTTTTCGTTCGATGTTCCAGCCCAACAAAGAAACAACAAGACTTATTTTAACATAAATTTCACTTATCTTACTGACAGTATCATAATTGCAGTTATCTTAATGATATACTGATGAAAGCAGGCTTAAAAGTTTAAACCTCCGACCCATGATTGTAATGATAACAATTTGAAATGAAAGTTTACCGCCACGTTACACTCCTTTTCCTTTCAGCTAACTGAGCACAACTCCATTTTTCAAACCGCCATCTTATTGAAAGTATTAATGTTAAGGTAAATATTTCTTAAGACGTAACATAGCATTTGTTACCAAAATTATTTTGTGAAATAATCAGTTGGGACACAATTTGAACTTTGCGAGATTCTTTCAACTGATCAGTGACACGCAGCTATGATCGGAGGCATTCAACTATGATCTGTATCATTCAGCTATGACCTGTGGCATTCAGCTATGACTTGTGGCATCCAGCTATGATCTGTGGCATTCAACTATGATTTGTGGCATTCAACTATGATCTTTGGCATTAAGCTATGATCTGAGGTATAATGCTAAGATCTGTGACATTCAAATAGGATATGCGCCATTCAGCTATGATTTGTGGCATTCAGCTATGATCTGTATCATTGAGCTATGATCTGTGTCATTGAGCTATGATCTGTGGCATTCAATTATGATCTGTGGCATTCAACTATGATCTGCGGCATTAAGCTATGATCTGAGGCACAACGTTAAGATCTGTGGCCTTCAGCTATGATCTGTGGCCTTCAGCTATGATCTAAGGCATAATGCTATGATCTGAGGCATAATGATATGATCGGTGCTTGAAGGCAGTCAAAAGTCAGTTATAAATATTTTTTTTGTAACTAGCCCATAAGATGAAGTCGCATATTGACAAATAGAGTATTTAAATATTTACTGTGATAAGACCAAGATTTAAAACATTTAATAAAGAAAGTACAATGCGCTGCAAAAAGACAAAGGAACGATCTTTGTATAAAGGGAAATGTGAGACACCCCCTCGCTCTCTCTCTCTCTCTCCCCCCCCCCCACCCAATTGCAGAAGAAAAGATTCCGGATATAGGTGGTCACATTCAATCCCTGGTTTTCTCGGTCGCTTCTGTTTTCTCGGGTGTCTCGGCTTTCGATGCCCTCTCGGCGTCCTGCTCAAGCTTCTGCTCCTTGCCGATGAGTTCTTGGACTGCCTTGGCCAGGTCACGTATGATGTCCAGCTCCGTCTTGCCCAGTCGTTGAATGTTGGAGATGTCGTAGACGCCATCTTTACTCTCCGTGTGTTCACCGTCGACGCCCCTGGCTTGAAGTCCAAGGCTAAGATTACAATGGAGAGTTTAAAAAAAAAAAAAGAGAAATGCAATTTTTTAATTATTACTAAGCGCATTAAAAAAAAAAATCGAAGTGGCTATTTTGACCCAGGTCCGAGAAGTGAGAGGGTGGGATTAAAATAAAAAAATAAAAAAAAAAAATAATAATAATGGGACCCGGGTCCGATTAGTGGCGATGCGTACCCGATTCCATTTTGATTAAATGCTATTGGATGTCATTTGCGGTAGTTTATTTAGGTTTAACTGAAGACTTAAGTTTACAAACATAAATTCCATTCAATTATCTTTCATTTGATACCAAATTTTGTCTTACAAACCCTGCAAATAATTTTTAAATATGCTTTAATAAACCCAAACCCTCCCTTCTCGGACCCCGCTCCGAATAGCCGCAGCTTTTTTTAATATCTCGTTAGAGATCTAGATTTATGGTAGGATGAACACCCGTTGATGTCGTCAGGCTCCTGGGCGGGTGGGTCCATGGCGCTATGTGACGATTAATCTATCCAGATGAGTCAGAGATATTAAAGATGCGCCATTTTTTACCTCATTACACCTATACTGAACTCATTGCACCAATACTTACCTGATTACATCAATACTTACCTCATTATACAACACTTTCCTCATTACACCAATGCTCACCTCATTACACCAGTGCTTACCTCTTACACAGTGCTTCAAAGTTCGGCTGCTGTGCTAGAAGGGGTATCTTCATGTGACATGAAACTCTCATACCGGTGCCCAAGTTGGAGGGACAAAACGTCAGATACCTGGGCGGGGGGGGGGGGGGGGGGGAGGATGTCAGAAAAACGTGACGCCATTATCAACACACACATACACATACACATCAGTTTTAGGATTTACGATGCTGTCAGCAGTGATAAATATTTTAAAATAATCAATAACATTTAATGTTATAAAATGGCGTATGCTCATATCACAGAACCCGTTTATGATTTTAAAAAAAATAAAAATAAAATAAAATTCGTAAAATATAAGGAAATATGCGTTAAATATTTTTTTTTTAAACAGAAAATGTTGCACATTGCATGGCAAAAATTCGGTGGGACATTAACATGTTAATATATATTAGGGGCGTCCAAAAAGTAGGGGGGGGGGTATACATCCCGGGATGGTTTTTAATTTATTTCTATTAAAATTTAAAAGGATACTTTTGTGTGTGGGGGTGGGGGTTTTTGGATTCTGCCCCAGGCAGCATAAGATGCACTTCAGCGTGGGTGGGCGTATAGTATAAGTGCAGTAATATCTCAAGGCCAAAATATGTTAAAATGAGTATAAAGATAGTTTTGAAACTGAGGAAATGATGTATGTGACCCTCTTCAGAAGACGCATTTCAGGGGTAGAAGAGAGGGTATGTCAATATATATAAGTGGATGACACTATCTTTTAACACGAGGATATTATATTCGTGTAAAAGAATTATTAGATAATCTTTTTAAAAAATTACATGTGTTATATCAATGTCAGAAAAAACAATTTAAGGGATTATGAGATTAATAAATTTCTAACAATGAGTATAATATATATATATATATATATATATATATATATATATATATATAATAAAACAGACTTGGAATATTTTTTGTAGATATATAATTTTTGTTTCATCGTTTTCCGATCAAATATGTCATAAGATTGGACACGATGCAAATGAACATAATATTAGATCAAAATCATTTAATGTGAAATATATTTAAACTGGTTGAAAAAACACAATTTAAGGACCAAAATGTTTTTACATGTTTTCTGAAAATATGTTTTCTTTTTTGTTCAGGGACGAGGAGAGCAGGACTGGGTGGGGCTGTTTAAATAACTTACACGAATGTAACCAAACCAAAGGATGGTAGAACCGTAAAACATAAGATGGTTAAACAAATGATTGAATAATAAAAATAATAAAGGTTATTTGAAAATCACGCTTTATCCCCAAAAGCTTGAAGCGCGGATTTACTATTTTTCAATGTGCATATTCAAGAGCCTGGAATATTATCATCTTGTTTTTAAAGGTATTAATCAAATGGATCAAAATCCGATTCAGCTACATAGTAAAATTTGGATAGTTCGATGTCAAAACTTCGCAATGGCAGGTAGAAAGTGGCGCAATATTCCTTTCATTATTAACCCGTTAACACCGGATCACAACTTCTAGTTAATAATAGGAAATGAAGCATTTATTTTATGATTATAGTTGAATTTCAACATTTCATGTTTAAAAAAAAAGAAAAGAAAATCAGACTTGATTTAGTATTTGCGTATGTTTTCAATACTCAACTTGAAACACCGAGACTATTTCCAGATATTTGTCTTCTCATATCATAACAATGTCAAGCATACAAATTTTTGTTAATTTCATGGCAAACGATAGTCTCCCCTACCCCTCCTCTCTTGTGCTAGGCTAAAAGCTGCACTACGTGATTTGGGTTAATTTTTCACTGAAAGGATTTCAATGTTTCGAAATGTTAACACTCTGCAACAGCATGAATTGATTTCTCAAACAAAACATTCACGTGGTTTAATCAGCAGTTTCACAATCACCTTGTCCCGTCGGGAAAGGAATTGCATTTCAATTGTCGCCGTCGTAGTAACTCTCAAACCCACACAAATTCAATCGAGAAAGGAGAATGTGTTTAAAGCGTGTAAAATCCACGAAGTAACATTTTAAAACTTAAGTAAATAAATAGAATGTTGTACAATAAATATATAAAGGTCACTTATTACAATGTTGTTGTGTAGACATGCAAATATTATCATATGATGTAATAAGCCGATGAAACCATTGTGGCGGTGCCCACTGCAGTCGTTAAAGATGGCAGTTTGGCGAATCTTTGTTAGAAGGTTTTAATTACAGCGTAACGATTCCAGTGATCAAGTCTATGTATAGATTGATTGCAATTGGTTTTAGGATGTCGAAATCAATATTTGATCCAGATTCACTGTTTACGTCGTCGCTGTTGCATCAGTTCGGCACAGTCGTATTTGTTTGACAGTCGCACTACTCTTACCCAACCCACCACTCACTGACAACCCCCCGATTATTTTAAAGCCAATAGGATTGCGTATCCCAAACTGACTCCGACTATGAGTCTATGACTCAAGGGCCGGCTCAGAATCGGACTCTTATTACAACTTCAGCTTTTTGATGCTCTTTTATAGCAGAGAAATAGTAGACAAATCTCTATAAATTCAGTTCCCAGTCCCTAAATTAGTGACATTGGGGTTGAATTCGCAATGTTTCTGATATCATTTATAACCGCATTCAGTCATTCAGGTATTAAGCTCATCCAACAGAGACAAAGCGGCATTTTCGATGTTTCCAGTTTTCTTTATGTTATTATTAGTTTGACTGATCAATATGCCAGGGGTACTTTGACTTTTAGTTTGGGAACCAATTAAATAACAATGGAGAAAACGACGACGACTCTGAGTCAAAGGTTTTGTTTACATGACAGAGTTGTGTTTTGGGGGGGCGGGGGTGGAGTGGAGAGGGGGGTTATACCGCTGATTCTGTTGGCATTGTCCACCATTCCATTGTCATTGTTCAACCAACGAGCATGATATCATCATGATGTGCTCACATCACCGCCTCTAAGATGATATGTACATCGTCATTGTTCAACCAACGAGCCTATATCATCATGATGTGCTCACATCGCCGCCTCTAAGAGGATATGTACATCGTCATTGTTCAACCAACGAACCTACATCATCATGGTGTGCTCACATCACCGCCTCTAACGTGATATGTATTTAACCAGCGAGCGGTGAATTAAAACGAAACTTCGAGACACACTGAGATCAGATCCGACTGGTGCTTCAATCTCCGACTCTAGATCATCAGTACACTGCATTCACCTGCACCCTCACGTCCATCCACCCTCAGTCCATCCATACTCACGTCCATCCATCCTCACGTCCATCCACCATCACGTCCAGCCACCCTCACGTCCATCCACCCTCACGTCCAGCCACCCTCACGTCCATCCACCCTCACGTCCAGCCACCCTCACGTCCACCCACCCTCACGTCCATCCACCCTCACGTTCTTCCACCCTCACGTCCATCCACCCTCACGTCCATCCACCCTCACGTCCATCCACCCTCACGTCCATCCACCCTCACGTCCATCCACTCTCACGTCCATCCACCCTCACGTTCATCCACCCTCACGTCCAGCCACCCTCACGTCCATCCACCCTCACGTCCAGCCACCCTCACGTCCACCCACCCTCACGTCCATCCACCCTCACGTCCATCCACCCTCACGTCCATCCACCCTCACGTCCATCCACCCTCACGTACATCCACCCTCACGTCCATCCACCCTCACGTCCATCCACCCTAACGTTCTTCCACCCTCACGTCCATCCACACTCACGTTCATCCACTCTCACGTTCATCCACCCTCACGTCCATCCACCTTCACGTCCATTCACCTTCACGTCCATTCACCCTCACGTCCATCCACCTTCACGTCCATCCACCTTCACGTCCATTCACCCTCACGTCCATCCACTCTCACGTCCATCCACTCTCACGTTCACCCACCCTCACGTTCTTCCATCCTCACGTTCTTTCACGCTCACGTCCATCCACCCTCACGTCCATCCACCCTCTTGTCCATCCACTCTCATGTTCTTCCACCCTCACGTCCATCCACACTCACGTCCATCCACCCTCACGTCCATCCACCCTCACGTCCATCCACCATTTCGTTCTTCCACCCTCAAGTCCATCCACCCTCATGTTCTTCCCCCCTCACGTTCTTCCCCCCTCAAGTTCTTCCACCCTTAAGTTCTTCCACCCTCAAGTTCTTCCACCCTCAAGTTCTTCCACCCTGAAGTTCTTCCACCCTCAAGTTCTTCCACCCTTAAGTTCTTCCACCCTCAAGTTCTTCCACCCTCAAGTTCTTCCACCCTCACGTTTATATATAACTTAAAAAATTCTGGTACTTGGCCAGAAAATTAATTCAAGGTTTATTTTCGTCTGCCATGATAAAGTTTCAGATGTACAACAAGATGTAAAACTAGATGTACATAGGATAGATATGAGTCGTATAGAAATAATAATTGGGATACTTGAAAGAATTAGAGTATATGTACAGGGCATTTGAATAAGACAAACTGGGCAATACTTTGAATGGTAAAGTTAAATGTGGCGATACGACCGCAATGTAATTATATATGAAATGGTCAGTTGGTTTTATAATAGATGTCGCTTGTGTAAAATATAGGTCAGTGTTTCTTATGATATAGGTCAGAGTTTGGTATAATAGAGGTCAGTGTTTGGTATGATATAGGTCAGAGGTAAGATTCTAGGTCAGCTGGTGGTATAATATAGGTCAGAGTTTGGTATAATGTAGGTCATAGTTTGGTATGATGTAGGTCAGGGTTCGGTATATATAGGTGAGAGTTTTGTATAACAAAGGTCAGAATTTGGTATAATATAGGTCAGTTTTGTATAATATAGGTCAGTGTTTCGTATAATATAGTTCATTGTTTGGTATAATATAGGCCAGTGATTGGTATAATAAAGGTCAGTGGTGGTCAGTTAATCAGTCAAAGTTCACCCCACACATTATAGAAGCGTGAAGTGAGGGTAGGCCCCTGGAATGATTTAGCTGGTAGATGACCCGACACTCAGATTTTTTGTCGTGAGCGGAGACGTGTGCGTACAAAACACGACATTCAAATGTTTTGTCGTGAGCGGAGAAGTGTGCTTCATTTTCTTTACAAGAATTTAATGACTAAAGTCGAAGCGTAGAGATACGGGGTTGAGATAGTTTAATTTTACATGGCACATCTTATTTATAATTCATGGGATGTTAGTAACATTCAAACAGTTGATATAAAACTATAGGCGCCAAATAAAATAGTTCCAAGCGATTGTATCCATCGTCGAACCGAGACAAATAATTTAATGGACTGAATAGGAAAAATAAATGATGTCACACATCCCAATCATTTCAACTCTCATGGTACGTCGAGACCTTGTGGTGATCAGGGCCGGCCTTAGGCCACTGCAACCTATGCGGCTGCAGTGGGCCCCGCACTTTCATAGGCCCCTCGCTAATTCTAGGTGTAAATTATTAAATTAGACCATTATAACTTATAATCATGTAGAGGCCCCGCGCAATCCGTTTCGCATAGGGCCCCGCTATTGTTAGGGCCGGGCCTGGTGGTGATGAGTAGTGAGGAAAGGATTAGGATGAAATGGAAGTAGGGACAATATATATATAATCCATTGTCTCAGAATTAAGGGTGAGTTATAGGAACATCTGAGATAATGTCAAGTCTTAGAAGCAGATAATTTTTAATTTAGAATACAAGTGCTTTCTTTAATATATATATATATATATAATGAGCAGCAGAGAGACGTGACATCGGTAAAACACTCAACATTGCCCTTGTATAGTGAGACCGTGACGTTACGATAAAGTTACTTTACAAGGAAAGAACCATCGCGATGTTAGCACAAGGAGAACAACCGATGCTTGATCACAGTAACTATAAACATCACAGTAGCTATAAACATCCCAATAATCTATAAACATCACATTAGTTTTAAACATCACAGTTGCTGTAAACACCATAGGAGCTATAAGCATAGCAGTAACTTCCGACATCACAGTAGCTATAAACATCACAGTGGCCGTAAACAACACAGTAGCTATAAACATCACAGTAGCCATAAACATCACAATAGCTATAAACATCACATTAGTTTTAAACATCACAGAGGCTGTAAACACCATAGGAGCTATAAGAATAGCGGTAGCTACTTAAATCACAGTAGCTATATACATCACAGTAGCTGTAAACATCACAGTAGCTGTAAACATCACAGTAGCTATAAACCTCTTTACATTAAAGTCTACTCCAAGCAAACACAACCAAAGCAAGATATACCAAGACTTGCTGACATCTCTTCAACTGACAAACGAATTTTCACGGTACAACAACGCTAACAACAACATAAAAAATAGTTGCTTGACGTTGGCTGTAGTTCCCATCATTTGGTCTCTTCTAAGGCCTTTTCCTCCTCGATCAGCTGAGCAACGCCCTGACACACTATGAACACAATGTCCTTCTCCCTCTCTTGGAGAGTACAGTGGTTGCCAATGTCGTACGTGTAATCTTTAATCTCATCAAAAACAATATCCACTCCCCAGGTGCTAAGTCCAAGACTGAAAGCCCAAATGAAAAGAGGCATCATTAATTTCATTAATTAATATTTATCGACTGTTAATGAAAAAAAAAATGTTATGAAGAGAAATAGATAGTAAAGAGACGCCTTACTGTTTAAAGGATGTTGTCAAACTGTTTAAAGGATGTTGTCAAACTGTTTAAAGGATGTTGTCAAACTGTTTAAAGGATGTTGCCAAACTGTTTAAAGGATGTTGTCAAACTGTTTAAAGGATGTTGTCAAACTGTTTAAAGTATGTTGCCAAACTGTTTAAAGGAAGTTGTCAAACTGTTTAAAGGATGTTGTCAAACTTTTTAAAGGATGTTGCTAAACTGTTTAAAGGATGTTGTCAAACTGTTTAAAGGATGTTGCCAAACTGTTTAAAGTATGTTGTCAAACTGTTTAAAGGATGTTGTCAAACTGTTTAAAGTATGTTGCCAAATTGTTTAAAGGATGTTGTCAAACTTTTTAAAGGATGTTGCTAAACTGTTTAAAGGATGTTGTCAAACAGTTTAAAGGATGTTGTCAAACTGTTTAAAGGATGTTGCCAAACTGTTAAAAGTATGTTGCCAAACTGTTTAACGGATGTTGTCAAACTGTTTAAAGGATGTTGCCAAACTGTTTAAAGTATGTTGCCAAACTGTTTAAAGGATGTTGTCAAACAGTTTAAAGGATGTTGTCAAACTGTTTAAAGGATGTTGCCAATTTGTTTAAAGGATGTTGTCAAACTGTTTAAAGGATGTTGTCAAACTGTTTAAAGGATGTTGTCAAACTGTTTAAAGGATGTTGCCAAACTGTTTAAAGTATGTTGCCAAACTGTTTAAAGGATGTTCTCAAACTGTTTAACGGAGGTTGTCAAACAGTTTAACGGATGTTGTCAAACAGTTTAAAGGATGTTGTCAAACTGTTTAAAGGATGTTGTCAAACTGTTTAACGGATGTTGCCACACTGTTTAACGGATGTTGCCAAACTGTTTAACGGATGTTGTCAAACTGTTTAAAGGATGTTGCCAAACTGTTTAAAGTATGTTGCCAAACTGTTTAAAGAATCTTGTCCAACTGTTTGAAGGATGTTGCTAAACAGTTTAAAGGATGTTGTCAAACTGTTTAAAGGATGTTGTCAAACTGTTTAAAGGATGTTCTCAAACTGTTTAACGGATGTTTGTCAAACAGTTTAAAGGATGTTGCCAAACTGTTTAACGGATGTTGTCAAACAGTTTAAAGGATGTTGTCAAACTGTTTAAAGGATGTTGTCAAACTGTTTAAAGGATGTTGCCAATTTGTTTAAAGTATGTTGTCAAACTGTTTAAAGGATGTTGTCAAACTGTTTAAAGGATGTTGCCATTTTGTTTAAAGTATGTTGTCAAACTGTTTAAAGGATGTTGTCAAACTGTTTAAAGGATGTTGCCAAACTGTTTAAAGTATGTTGCCAAACTGTTTAAAGGATGTTGCCAAACTGTTTAAAGTATGTTGCCAAACTGTTTAAAGGATGTTGTAAAAGTGTTTAAAGGATGTTGCCAAATTGTTTAAAGAATGTTGTCAAACTGTTTGAAGGATGTTGCCAAATTGTTTAAAGGATGTTGCCAAACTGTTTAAAGAATGTTGTCAAACTGTTTAAAGTATGTTGCCAAACTGTTTAAGGGATGTTGTCAAACTGTTTAAAGGATGGTGTCAAACTATTTAAAGGATGTTGTCAAAGTGTTTAAAATATTTTGCCACACTGTTTAAAGAATGTTGTCAAAGTGTTTAAAAGATTTTATCACACTGTTTAAAGGATGTTGTCAAAGTGTTTAAAAGATTTTGCCACACTGTTTAAAGAATGTTGTCAAAGTGTTTAAAAGATTTTATCACACTGTTTAAAGGATGTTGCAAAACTGATTAAACAACTCAACACGCTTTTTTAAAAAAAAACTGTAAAAATAATAATAAATTAACTAATTAAAAAAACACAAATTTATTTGACGCGGCTCCTGCCACTGCTGTATTTCAATAGGTTGAAATTTTCCCACTGTTTCCCGAGAGGTTTTGGTGGCAAGAAAGTCAACTTATGGAAAACACTTTCTTAGGTTTAAAATACCCAACCTGTTTAATGGCGACGTTAAATATCGAAAATACTTTCATAAAATGATGATTTTTATCAGTCGCTGTATAGATTATGCAGGAGAAGTTGGATACGTAGATTCGAATTTGGATTTTTTTGGAAGCGTTAACTTGTGCTTCAGTTTTTACAATCTCACAATTCTGATTACAATAATTGTAAAGAAAATGAATACTAAGTGTCATGAGTAACAGAGCCACAGCTTCTATCTTATATCTTCTAAGTCTTACCTACAAAGTCATAGCTTCTTAGTCATAGCTTTAAAGTTATACCCTCTAAGTCGGACCCTCTAAGTCATACTTTCTAAGCTTGCCTTCAAAATTGGTTTGTTGGGATAGTAGAGGGAGTCTCACATGAAACGACACTCTCATCCCCGTACCTAAGAAATTCGGAGCTTGAGTGAGAAATCTGCGGAGTTGGAGAACGGTATATACTTCAAATACTAGATTGAGAATTGATTTTTTCCAAATAATATATGAAAAAATGGGTCTTTGAAATATTAGACGGAGAACGGAGTCTTTCAAATATAAGACGGAGAACGGAGTCTTTCAAATATAAGACGGAGAACTAAAACTTTCAAAAAGTACTAGAAGGAGAACTACGTCTTTCAACTAATAGTGCTTCCATTTTGCCATAGTTACGACTCGCAATAGCTGTTAAAATAATAATTATGAATGCAATAGTTATAACAATTGTGACAGGGAAAAGCTGTTATGCTTGTGACTCGCAATAGCCGTAATAATTGTTACTGGGAACAGTTGTAATATTTTTCACCATCTTTAAACCATGTGACTCATGCTATCAATGATACTCTGCATTGCTGAATTCTCAATTCAATTATCGCCAACTATACCTTAGCTGGATCATCAGGTTTTGATCAAATATAATTATTTTAAATATTTCATTATAATTTTTTTCCAGTGTTCGAAAGTGGTGAGTTGACAGGATGTGATTGTTGCAGAAAAGGATGAATTGAGAAATTAAATGGTAGCGTTAAGGGATGAATTGAGAAATTAAATGGTAGCGTTAAGGGATGAATTGATAGGATTCGATTGTTGGAGGAAGTGATAAATTAACAAGATTAAATGTTAGTAGGAAGTGATAAATTAACAAGATTAAATGTTAGTAGGAAGTGATAAATTAACAAGATTAAATGTTAGTAGGAAGTGATAAATTAACAAGATTAAATGTTAGTAGGAAGTGATAAATTAACAAGATTAAATGTTAGTAGGAAGTGATAAATTAACAAGATTAAATGTTAGTAGGAAGTGATAAATTAACAAGATTAAATGTTAGTAGGAAGTGATAAATTAACAAGATTAAATGTTAGTAAGAAGTGATAAATTGACAAGATTAGATGTTTGTAGGAAGTGATAAATTGACAAGATTAGATGTTTGTAGGAAGTGATTAATGAACAAGATTAGATGTTTGTAGGAAGTGATAAATTGACAAGATTAGATGTTTGTAGGAAGTGATTAATGAACAAGATTAGATGTTTGTAGGAAGTGATAAATTGACAAGATTAGATGTTTGAAGGAAGTGATTAATGAACAAGATTAGATGTTTGTAGGAAGTGATAAATTGACAAGATTAAATGTTTGGAGGAAGCGATAAATTGACAAGATTAAATGTTTGGAGGAATCGATAAATTGACAAGATTAGATGTTTGTAAGAAGGGATAAATTGACAAGATTAGATGTTTGGAGGAAGTGATGAATTGAAAAGATTAGATGTCTGTAGGAAAAAATGAATTGAAAAGATTAGATTTTTTAGGAAGTGATGAATTGAAAAGATTAAATGTTTGTAGGAAGTGATGAATTGAAAAGATTAGATGTTTGTAGGAAGTGATGAATTGAAAAGATTAGATTTAGGAAGTGATAAATTGACATGATTATAGGGTTGTATCTAGTCGACGATGCTGTTGCTATTTTTCTGTCTTCTTGAACAGATGGTGTAGCTTCTGTATTTATCATATTGGAATCACCACTATCAACATCTGTCGTCTTATATTCAAATCTACGATATCAACATATTTTTCCTTCATCTTATAACGGCTTATACTGTGTGTGTCTCGTGGGGACATTCAGGTGGCGCTCTGCTGAACGGCGTGAGACCTTCTGAATGGTGTGAGACTTCCTAAGAGGTATGAGACCTTCTGAATGGTGTGAGACTTCCTAAGAGGTATGAGACCTTCTGAAAGGTGTGCTACCTGATGAAAGGTGTGAGACCTTCTGGCTGATGTAATACCTGCTGAAAGGTTTGAGACCTGCTAAATCGCGTGAGACCTACTGAAAGGTGTGAGATCTGCTGAGAGGTGCGAGACCTTCTGACGATTCCTGTTGTCGACTTTGCTGTTGACCTTAACAAGCGGCTACACCAATACTCTGATGTCGGGCCATATGCTGGCTGATTTGATTTGTTTAAGCCATTAATCCTATTTCCTGGTTCCAAATATGTTTTTTTTTTTCGTTTTTACCAGCTGCTTGTCTTAAACGTCAAAATATCATATTGGAATCCGCTATGTCAACACGTCACATTTCATATATTTTCAAATCTATAAACATGAGGCATATAATATTTAAGTCAACTCTATCAACATTTGACATTTTGATGTAGATTTTTTTATATCAATTTTATCAACACATGACCAAACGTTGCCATTTTCTGTTTTATGCTCGTTCATTTTAACTCAAGCCTTTACAAAGACATTGCATCCGTTTTCTCACACCACCTGTTCAAATTACGTCACGTATTTCACCTGACTATAACTTAAAATCACATCCGAACTCAAAATTCATTCTGAAAAGAAAATGTTTTCAATGAATTGAGGGTGGTAAGTTGCTCTCACCCGTATCCATCTTTGGTAGCAAACTTCACACCTTGCAGAGCCAAGTGCTCCACACAGGTAACCAGTTTAGAGTAGACTCCTAGCATGTTTGCGTCAGACTTGAATGACATGAAGTTGTAGTGGTCGTCCATGTTGACCCATATTGCGAAGTCCTCTTTATCAAAATAATAAACACCGCGTCCTTTTGGAAAGTCCTGAAACACTCCAGCGTTTTGTTTGTGTCTGATGGAAGAGTTTGAGTTATGCAAGAAGATACAGCACTGTTAGACACGGTACCCACGTGACATGATTATATGTCTATTTAACACCAACAGGAGGGTTTCTACTATACAGCAGGAGTGTTTTATAATACAACGGAGGGTTTTACAACAGAACTGGAGGGTTTCTACACTACATAAGGGGGGTTTTACAATAGAACTGGAGGGTTTCTACACTACATAAGTGGGGTTTTACATTAGAACTGGAGGGTTTCTACACTACATAAGGGGGGTTTTACATTAGAACTGGAGGGTTTCACACTACATAAGGGGGGTTTTACATTAGAACTGGAGGGTTTCTACACTACATAAGTGGGGTTTTACATTAGAACTGGAGGGTTTCTACACTACATAAGTGGGGTTTTACATTAGAACTGGAGGGTTTCTACACTACATAAGGGGGGTTTTACATTAGAACTGGAGGGTTTCTACACTACATAAGTGGGGTTTTACATTAGAACTGGAGGGTTTCTACACTACATAAGTGGGGTTTTACATTAGAACTGGAGGGTTTCTACACTACATAAGTGGGGTTTTACATTAGAACTGGAGGGTTTCTACACTACATAAGTGGGGTTTTACATTAGAACTGGAGGGTTTCTACACTACATAAGTGGGGTTTTACATTAGAACTGGAGGGTTTCTACACTACATAAGTGGGGTTTTACATTAGAACTGGAGGGTTTCTACACTACATAAGTGGGGTTTTACATTAGAACTGGAGGGTTTCTACACTACATAAGTGGGGTTTTACATTAGAACTGGAGGGTTTCTACACTACATAAGTGGGGTTTTACATTAGAACTGGAGGGTTTCTACACTACATAAGTGGGGTTTTACATTAGAACTGGAGGGTTTCTACACTACATAAGTGGGGTTTTACATTAGAACTGGAGGGTTTCTACACTACATAAGTGGGGTTTTACATTAGAACTGGAGGGTTTCTACACTACATAAGTGGGGTTTTACATTAGAACTGGAGGGTTTCTACACTACATAAGTGGGGTTTTACATTAGAACTGGAGGGTTTCTACACTACATAAGTGGGGTTTTACATTAGAACTGGAGGGTTTCTACACTACATAAGTGGGGTTTTACATTAGAACTGGAGGGTTTCTACACTACATAAGTGGGGTTTTACATTAGAACTGGAGGGTTTCTACACTACATAAGGGGGGTTTTACATTAGAACTGGAGGGTTTCTACACTACATAAGTGGGGTTTTACATTAGAACTGGAGGGTTTCTACACTACATAAGGGGGGTTTTACATTAGAACTGAAGGGTTTCTACACTACATAAGTGGGGTTTTACATTAGAACTGGAGGGTTTCTACACTACATAAGGGGGTTTTACATTAGAACTGGAGGGTTTCTACACTACATAAGTGGGGTTTTACATTAGAACTGGAGGGTTTCTACACTACATAAGTGGGGTTTTACATTAGAACTGGAGGGTTTCTACACAAAAAAAAACTTTTTTTAAATAGAACATGAGAGTTTTACAATCCAACAGGTAGTGTCATCAAACAGAAATGGGGTCGAGGGGGCGTTCCTACAAAACAACATGGGTGGGAATCTTACAACACAACAGTGGCCCTAAAACTAAGCCTAGGGGATTCTACAACATAAAAGATGGGTCCAACAAGAACAGAAGTGGTCTTACGACACAACTGAGGGGTTTTGAAAAATACAGGTAGCGTCTTAAAACATAGCAACGTGGTCCTACAACGTAAAATAGGGTTCATGCAACATATAAAAGGGGTTCTACAATACAAATTGAGAGTCCCATTTTACAACATCCGTTCCTAAAAAATCCCATCAGAGGGGTTCTACACACACATCTGGAGCGTCCTGCCATACAGCAGCGAGATCCTGCAATACAGCAGCGAGATCCTGTAATACAGCAGCGACATCCTGCCATACAGCAGCGAGATCCAGCGAGATACAGTAAAGGTCCCACAACAGCTAGGCGTACTCTACCTGCATAAGTTAAGCGGAAACTGATTCTCATGTGGGAGGCACATGGGAGGCATTTGAGAACATTTCTAGTTATTACAACAGTATAAAACAATTCGTTTAATTTTATAATTAGTTTCAAACATATGATGTAGGTAGGAAAGTTGAACAGACATTGGCATGGGACAGATGTTAAAGGCAGCTTAGAAGATTATGGAAAATGTGTAGATTATACGTCATTTTTTTCTGTTAAAGAGCATGAATGTTATATGTATAAAATGTGATGTCAAGTCTAAATAGAAACAAGATGAAATACTGACATATCTCCGTCGTTCATCATGGAGTTGTTGTCCTTAAAGAAAGACCTCTTCTGGTTGAACTGCTTTGAATTGAACGGCATGTACGTGCAGGTGAATTTCTCGTCTGAGCTTCTCAAAGAAGCCAGGTGCGAATCTAGTTCAGTCTCAAGCTTCTGCCTGAAAATGGGCAAAACGGGTTGGGAGGGGGTGTGTGTAGTGTTACGTGAGTTGATGAGGCTACGTGTTTACGTTAGCGACGTACGGGTGCAGTTTAACACCTACGGCCTTTCTGTCGTCTTATAAAAGCACAAAGGGTTGTTCTTCTGTCACTTTCAAATAATGAAATTATCCGGTTAGGTTAGGTCTACTGTTGCTATCCAATAATGAGAGTATCGGGTTAGGTAAGGTCTTCTGTTGCTATCCAATAATGAGAGTATCGGGTTAGGTTAGGTCTTGTGTTGCTATCCAATAATGATAGTTTAGGATTAGGTAAGGTCTTCTTTTGCTGTAAAGTAATGAAATTTGAGGGTTAGGTAAGGTCTTATGTTGCTGTCCTAATGGAAGTTTAAGGTTTGGTAGGGTCTTCTGTTTCTATCCAATAATGAAGTTTTAAAGTTAAGTAATGTCTTCTGCTGCTATCCAATAATGAAAGTTCTGGTCACTGTGCCTAGAAACGTAAATGACAATTTATGAACAATAAAAGACAAATCAGGCTCAATTACACGACAAAAACAATTGTGAAGAGGGCGATAACAATTAGGTACCATAAAAACACAAATATGGAGAGAACTATAATAATTAGGGACCGCAGAAACACAAATGTTGAGAGAACGATAACAATTAGGGACCACAAAAACCCAAATTTGGAGAGAACTATAACAATTTGCGACCGCAAAAATATAAATGAAAATAAATGATCTGCGGCATCCTTGTACCTACAAAATATTATGTCAACACACACCCCACCTCTGAAATGAATGCCAACACACAACATACTCCCACACCTATGAAGTGAAGATCAAAACACAACACACACCCCCACCTCTGAAATAAATGCCAACACACAAAACACTCCCCCACCTCTGAAGTGAAGGCCAACACACAACACACTCCCCCACCTCTGAAGTGAAGGCCAACACACAACACACTCCCCCACCTCTGAAGTGAAGGCCAACACACAACACACTCCCCCACCTCTGAAGTGAAGGCCAACACACAACACACTCCCCCACCTCTGATTCTCGTTGAGTAAATTCTGAAATGGCAGGCCGTCAAGGTTCCTCTTCAGCAGCACACGTGACTGTAGAATGTAGTGACCGGTAGGGTCAAGATTTTCTGGCAGGTTAACAAACCATCCATCGGAGATCCCGAAATCAGGTTGAAGCGGATGGTCGATCGCCTTTAGGTCAAAGTAAGCTTTAATGACCTGGGGTGTGGTCAAAACTAGGTCACAAATACAGGCACGACTACTAAGCAGAATCATAAATATTTATAGGAGAATTATTAACAGGTCATGTAAGACGACTGATGCAAGCCATTGTGATTTAGTTTTTTTTATAACATTTTTTATACGTGTTTTTCTCCCTTGTTACGGAGTTATGTGCCCATTTTGAATCGTTTGAAATATTATTACATTTTGAATAAAGATTAAAAGTCCAAGGGTTCTATCCAAATATTTGTTACGATATACGATTTCGCCAAACTCAACAGAAGAATTAAAGATTGATTTCTTATACTGCGTTAGCGTCTTATTAAGAATCCTACTACGTGATGGTCTCATTTGTTTGTATGAACGGAGGACAGAATAAAACATTTTCCGATACATCAGCATAACCATCTCAATCCCAGTTGCTGTCTACGGAACGCATTTCGCAGGGAACACCTTGTGCCTTATAATGTGGCGTATCGCTCAACCCCAGAGACAATGGTGGAGAACCGTTATTTCTACCTATGACCATTTTGATATTTATAGTCATTCGCGGGTCATTAAAAAATATCAGGACCGGCGCCCCAAGTACAATTTTTTTACACCCAGCCCCCCCCCCCCCTATACCTTATCCCCCCTGTGGAAAACCGTTATTTCTACCTATGACCATTTTGATATTTATAGTCATTCCCGGGTCATTAAAAAATATCAGGGCCGGCGCCCCAAGTACAATTTTTTTACACCCAGCCCCCCCCCCCCCTTATATCTTATCCACCCATTACATAATTAATATTAATTTAAAAAAAATATGATACAAATTAATATAATTTGATATGACTTCATCATCAATTATATTTTGCGAATAGTAGCTATTTTATGATGTACATATTATTATATTAATATAAAATTTTATAAAATAATTGCTTCTGTGAGCCATGAATTGCTTAAAGTTTTCCAGTACAATACTTAATGCATTGTTGAGTATAATATACGTAACATTTTATACTATACTTACCCTTTTATACTATACGTAACAAACATGATTAGAGTTACTTTTCGCGCATAACAAACATTTTGGGTAGTATGTCCAAAAATCAATAAGTCTAATTTACTTCACACTACTTTTAAAATGTTCAAAAGCCAAGCAGCGAAGACATTTTGAATATATTATCAAACGTTGCAAAGTCAAGGTTAAATTAGCTAAAGAAAGCATTGTCCTAATGCTTTACATTATATGTTAAAAATGATTTTTTTTAAAATCTCCCAATATTTATTGGACTCTGAATTTCGCTAATGATTTCGTGGGCCGGACGTTCTCCAGCCCAGACCGCGACGGGGGTCCCCAAAGTGGTGGACCGAGGATCGGTATAGGTCCACGGAAGTTACATTGCCGGTCCGCACTACTTAGGTCAAGGAACTGGGAAAAAATTTGTTTTCTTGATTAGGTGTCGGCTGTAAACCACTTTCATGAACAGGATTGGATTGTGATCAAATGATGACAGATTTTCTAAGGAGATTGTCTTGTGCACCAATCAAGACATCAGGACTTTCTAATGGCATTGTCTTGTGCACAAATAATGACATACTTTCTAATGACATTGTCTGGTGCACAAATCATAACATCCAGACTTTCTAATGACATTGTCTTGTGCACAAATAATGACAGACTTTCTAATGACATTGTCTGGTGTGCACAAATCATGACATCCAGACTTTCTAACGTTTTTCTAAATATGTTTTGTATTCCTGTTTAAGACGTCAGTTTATAATATATTTTTAAAGAAAAACGAAGTTTAAGTTGCTTTAAAAAATAATTATGTATGATTTATTTAATGTCAAATAAAAATAAATGAAACATGTGGCGTCGATCAGGCGAAACTTGAGCGGTCTGATGAAGTTGAGGTGCCTCTGAACATAACATTTTATAAGTACAGAAGCATTTAGCTAATTTATAAAATGAGAAATCAAACTTTTTGATGTTCCCGCTCTTTGTATCAGTCATCGCAGGCTGATTTAGTTCATGTGAGATGTTTTATTAAGGCCTACCACTTGTGTTACAAGACATTTAAAGGAATATAAAAACAAGATTAAGTCTAAAACCGTATTATTGCTTGTATTAAATAGACTTGCAAGAAAAAAATAATTTTATTTGATTTACAAGGTAAGCTGAAAGATTGCAACCGAAACGTCATTTAATGCAAGGAATGATTTGAGTTCTATGCAATGATTAACGCAAGGGGAGTTCTGTCCTGTGTTCAACACAAGGGTAGTTCTATTCCTTGTTTAACACAAGGGTATTTCTATACAGTGTTCAACACAAGGTGAGTTCTATTCAGTTTTCAACACAAGGTCATTTCTATTCGGTGTTCAACACAAGGTTAGTTCTATTCAGTGTTCAACACAAGGTGAGTTCTATTCAGTTTTCAACACAAGGGTAGTTCTATTCAGTGTTCAACACAAGGTTAGTTCTATTCAGTGTTCAACACAAGGGTAGTTCTATCCTGTGTTCAACAGAAGGGTAGTTGTATACAGTGTTCAACACGAGGGTATCTATTCAGTGTTCAACACAAGAGTAGTTCTATACAGTGTTCAACACAAGGGTAGTTCTATACAGTGTTCAACACAAGGGTAGTTCTATTCAGTGTTCAACACAATGGTAGTTCTATACAGTGTTCAACACAAGGTTAGTTCTATTCAGTGTTCAACACAAGGGTAGTTGTATACAGTGTTCAACACGAGGGTATCTATTCAGTGTTCAACACAAGAGTAGTTCTATACAGTGTTCAACACAAGGGTAGTTCTATACAGTGTTCAACACGAGGGTAGTTCTATTCAGTGTTCAACACAAGGGTAGTGCTATCCTGTGTTCAACACAAGGGTAGCTCTTTACAACGTTCAACACGAGGGTATCTATTCAGGGTTCAACACAAGGGTAGTTCTATACAGTGTTCAACACAAGGGTAGTTCTATACAGTGTTCAACACAAGGGTAGTTCTATACAGTGTTCAACACAAGGGTAGTTATATTCAGTGTTCAACACAAGCGTAGCTCTTTACAACGTTCAACACACATACAGCTCTATACATAACAAAGTGTGACATCTAACCTACAAAATGACCCGACTTGATTATTTAAAAATATATATATAAAAACACTACAACAGCGCTATAACAGCGGTCCCCAAACTGTCGTAAAAAATAGACTAGTTTTGGTATAACACTTACCTCATCTAGAAGAGCCCCGTAGGCTGTATAAACATCTGGATCCGTGAAGTGAAAGCCGAGCCTCTGGTCGGGGTAGAGGCATGGCGCTCTCATGTTTTGACACAGAGTTCCCCCGTACTTGGTTTTCGTCTTCTTGTAGCCTTGTAGAAGTTCCTTGGTAAAATGCTTTTTCAGGATGGTACCCTCTCCATAATTCTTTTGGGCAAAAACCAGATAAATAGAACACTTAGCAAAATAATCTAAAACTAATACAAAGTAGAGGAGAACAATTGAAGTCGAATAATTTCATTAGAGTTGCTTATGCTAATATCCACAGGATCACAGAATACTGTAAAAGAAGTTGGAGTTATTAATAATTTACCAGGAAGTCAATGTAATATAATTAAATCAGCAATGGAGAATAAGAACAAATATAAGTACGCACACACACATATATATGTCATTGTATATTACAAAGTAAAGAAGACAGTGACTTTGGAAAAAAATTAAAGAAAAGAGGGGAAAGGTTCGTGGAGAGTGTTGTCTGCCCCGGGCAGAATTATTTCTATGCATTGAGGGGCGGCCTTTTTGGCATATTGCAAAAAAAGTTTTTATGGGAAAAGGGAAGGAGACAGCAAAAATGTTGGCCTCCCAGGCTCAAACTAACAATAGCTACTCAGCTGAACTCGGTTCACGTGATTCGAGAGGGTGGGGCATGAACCACAAGAGATTGCATGAAATGCTGAAAAGAATAGATAGATCAGCACCACGTCTCCCCCTTCTCTTTTTCACGATTTGGAGGTTGGGTACAACTATGTCATCCTGTTTCCCCCGAACCTGACATGTAGCACTTGACATGTAGCACTTCCTATGTAACACTTCCCCTGTAGCGGGTCGGAGACCCCTCATAACTTTTGGTGGCGTTCTCTTTAAAGTAAAGGCAGAGAATTCTTAACCAAAACACTTTACAGGGGGATGTACGGCAGGAGTTAGTGGTCCCTGAAATTAAAAGTCAACCAGTCAATATTTTTCTCGAGACGTTTCGGGGTGATAAGTTTAGATAAGATAATTGGCTATCGTTTGTTTGACTTGAAACTTCTGCTACTTGAGCTTCAGGCGGTAAAGTCAAGGTGGCGCGTAAACTTACCACGTCCAGTGTCTGAGACATGGGGGGGGGGGGGGGGGGGAGAGACTTTAAGCTACTTTTATAATTACAGAGTCAAGACACTGTCCGAGACAGGGAAAAGTTGATTAACTTACGTTTAACATTTTGAAGAGGCGTTCTGCTTCAGCGGGTGAGTTTTTCACACCGCTCCGAGCGCAGCAGGCCATGCCGGTCCGTGCCTAGATGAACAGATGATGACAGGGTCTGTAGGTGAGAGATGGCTGTAGACAAAGGTCCGTGCCTAGCTGAGCAGGTGATGACAGTTTCTGTGTTGGTAAGAGATGGCTGTAGACAAAGGACCCTCCCTAGGTGAGCAGGTGATGACAGGGTCTGTGTTGGTAAGAGATGGCTGTAGACAAAGGTCCGTGCCTAGGTGAGCAGGTGATGACAGGGTCTGTGTTGGTAAGAGATGGCTGTAGACAAAGGTCCGTGCCTAGGTGAGCAGGTGATGACAGGGTCTGTGTTGGTGGGAGAGGGCTGTAGACAAAAGTCCTTACCTAGATGAGCAGGTGATGACAGGGTCTGTGTTGGTGGGAGAGGGCTTTAGACAAAGGTCCGAACCAGCTTAAAACTGCTTACAAAATAAATCATATGATATATTTCAGACACATTTTTGCATTCGACGACATCAAAGAGTGCGCATTTTAATCTATTTTTAAATTATGACGATGACGACATTCAAATTGAGGTTAAAATGAGAGCTGTGTATAGAGGCTAATTTAAAGTTATATTTATGGTTTCTGGCAGAGTTTATGAGGTGGCAGAGCAGAGTTTATAAGGTGGCAGAGCAGAGTTTATAAGGTGGCAGAGCAGAGTTTATATGGTGGCAGAGCAGAGCTTATAAGGTGGCAGATCAGAGTTTATAAGGTGGCAGACCAGATGTCTAGCGGGAGTTGTACAGAAACAAAATGCATTTTATACAAATAAACATATTGTACTTTAAAAGATGACAGAAAATGAAGATTTGTGCCTCATTTTATACAGTCATACAAGGTTAGATTGCCGTTGTATGTCTCGTGTAGAGTATCCAAGATTCTTAATAAAAGTAAAATTTACGTGTTAAACATATGCGACTACCTTATTTATTTCATTTTTTTTTCGTTAGCGTGTTCAGATTTGTTATTCGATAGCCGAACTTTAAACTATAAACTTTAAACTATAAACTATAAACTATAAACTATAAACTATAAACTATAAACATGTGAAACAAAATTATCTTGACCCATTTATGAAAATGTGCAATGAATTTTGAAGGCGGCATATAAATGGTAGCAGGGTAGTGGGTATAAGGTAGTAGGACACAGTATTTACGTGTACTGTCCCCCTCCCCAATCACCTTACTGTCCTTTAAACAACAGGTCTACAACAGACAGTCCTACACCCATAACCATGGTTCTTTATTGATTGATATAATAGTCGTCTTCCCCTAAAGAAAACACCACACATTTTTAGCTGAGTTCAACTGTCACGCATGGCGCCCGCTGCGTGACTTCTTCTTGTTGTTTTCACACAGCACTATTAATATAAAATATGTGAAGTTGGTGGGGGTGGGGGGGTGGATGAGTGCCGGCTCAGCACTATTAATATAAAATATGTGAAGTTGGTGGGGGTGGGGGGTGGATGAGTGCCGGCTCAGCAATATTAATACTTTTATACACTTCAACCACGGGGTGGGGGGTGGATGAGTGCCGGCTCAGCACTATTAATATAAAATATGTGAAGTTGGTGGGGAGGGGGGGTGGATGAGTGCCGGATGTGAAAACGAAGCAGGACACATCAGAAGCAAAGATATATAAGAGGTGTCATGCACTAATTTGTTTAACCTCACATTTTTAATTATCGGAGGCCCTCTGCCGCCGCAGGATTTTTAGGGCCCACGCGTCTGCTCTAATTGAAATAGTTCTAATCCAGTGAAAAGAAGCAAGGGAATGGGACATTTTAATGACCTAAATAAAATAAAAAATACATGAAACAGCATGTTTTGTTTCAATTTAAGGCATTATCTCTTTTTAATGGAATGCTATTTTAAACCGCTACAAGTCGAATCGATTATCATTTTGCGAGGCGTAGGAAGGGGACGTAGAAATGGGGCGTAAGAAGGGGTTTTAGGAAGGGGGCGTATGAAGGGGGCATTGGAAGGGGTGTAGGAATGGGGAGTAGGAAGGGGTCGTACGAAGGGGTCGTACGAAGGGGTCGTACGAAGGGGTCGTACGAAGGGGTCGTACGAAGGGGGCGTACGAAGGGGTCGTACGAAGGGGGGCGTACGAAGGGAGTTTAGAAAGAGGGCTTAGGTAGGGGGAGGGGGGAAGTTCGCCCCCTGTCGACACTTTTTTCTCTAGATAGGTGACCAATAAGGGCGGGAGACATTTTGGGCGCAAAAGACGTAAGGAGTAATTTTATTTTACTATCAATTACTAAGATAAGATAAGATGTGAGATAATTTAAGATATAGTTAAGATAATATATGCGATAAGATAACATATAGATACGATATGAAATAAATAAGATATATATCAGATATAAGATAAGATGAGATATAGATAAGATATGAGATAAGATAAAATATAGATAAGATTTGAGATAAGATAACAATTTGATAAGATATGAGAGATTTAATAACATATAGTTACGATAAGATATCGTACTAAACTTCTTACTGTCTATTCACCCATTCGAAAGCTTCATTCCTCCGCAGACACGCGTATTCTTGCTGTTCACAGAACACGCACTAAAACATATGGTGAACGATCTTTCTTTTTCTGTGCCCCCCAAAAAAACGAATTCTCTCCCATTACACATCTGCACTATAACGACCATCACCGCCTTCAAAACTGCCCTCAAGACCCATCTCTTTAAACTGTACTATACCAATTCATTCTCACCATTTCTTGCTGATCCACAACGCTTGAATATGCTGGGTGCTGTCCATGCCTATACAGGGGTAGTTCGTAATCCGGAAATTAGTTTGAAAGAAATTTCGTCGACGGAAAATTGAGCGACGGAAATTTGATCGAACTGAAATTTGGTCGAATCTTTTTTTCAGTTCACACGTAAAACGCATTAATGTGTTTTACTTTCTAGTATAGTGCGTCAGTGCAGGCTTATGTGACGTCAGTGGAGGCCTATGTGACGTCAGTTCTGACCTATGTGACATTAGTGCTGGCCTATGTGACAGCTGGTAAAATATAGGCATACAGTAAAGAACACAAATCTTTCTTTAGAATTCCTCGGCGCGAAGAAGTTAGGACCCAGGAGAAGCAGCCATTGAATAAACTTAACTAAAATGCAGCCATCAGGATTTCACGCATATAATTCCAAGTAAAGTCTGTTGTTTGGTTTAAGCTCCAGCAATCTCGATAATATTTTAACTGAAAATGTCAGTGTTTTGATTTGATGCCCCCCTCGGGATTTATTACCCAAAAGACAAGGTTTCATCTGGCCTTACAATAAACTGACCTCTGCGCTTGTGTCTTGGAACATTCTCACGTGCTGGCCACTCGGACGTTTACTTGGTGCGATGCACGGTCATATTAAGGATTTAATTCACTGCGTAAAGTCAACATAGTGACCACACAGCTGTCCGTGCACTGTTCATACAGAGTGATTGCAGTGCGAGGCCCTGTGTACAGTTAACATAGAGACAGACACGTTTACGTAGCTGTGTATGCATTGCTCATACAAAGGGGTTGCAGTGCGCCAGGGCTGGGGCACTGTGAACCCAGTGGGGTTAAGAGATTAGACATTGGGTTCGATGACATGAAGTAAAAAGACAGAATAAAACAGTGAACCGGCTACCCCTTCAAAGCTCGCTTCTTTAGTCGTTTGGACCTGTCCTAATACAGCTGAGCGTTACAACTCACTCTACGCTGCACCCGGGGCAACACTATATATCTGAATTAAATATTATTTTTCTATATATTGAGGACCCACAATCAATATATTAAGCATTCTGGCTCCTGTGAGCTTGTTTTGTGACGCAAAGCAGGTATTTCGCATAACCACCTTAAAAAAAAAATCAATTTTGTGATCAAGAAGTTTAAAAAAATTAAGAGCATTTCTCTGTTGCTCTTAGATTTGTTTGAGAATGACTCAGAATTTAATTCAGGTATACGCCAACAGGAATACTTGAATTTTGAATTGGTTAAGTTATTTTTAGAGTAGAGGCTCAACGACAACCACTCTGGCATGGAATCCCCTTGGCCCCCTTGATTTCCTGCCCCAACCTTCAATTCTTTGGTGGTTTTTTTGGTGTGTGCATATACCAGGGACAACACAATTTAAATATGCTTCATTGTAGATTTCACTGTGCCAACAAGCACTATATATATATATATATATATATATATATATATATATATATATATATATATATATATATATATATATATATATATATATATATATATATGTGTGTGTGTGTGTGTGTGTGTAGTTTTGTGTGTGTTTTTTTTATATATATATATATATATATATGTGTGTGTGTGTGTGTGTGTGTAGTGCTTTGTGTAGTTTTTTTTTCCTTTTCAATGGGGTTGGCGAACGGCCCGATGTCTCCCAACGCCACTGATCATTGAGGATGCCCAAAAGCAGGCACTCAGTGATCCCTATTATTAATTCATCGATTGCAATGTACTCCGCTGAATCGATTTTTCTATGTCCTCAGAGAAGACGGTTATTTCCATTGTTGTCTTCAAGTTAACGGAAATTCAAGTAGGCACCAATTTGGTGTATTAGCCCATTAAGTGCAGTTTTGATAAAATATATTTCTATGCCCTCTTGATTGTTACTCTGAACTTAAGTGCAGTCGTTTCGCAATATGTGCTAGCGCTTTCAAATTTCTATTTCATTAAAAAAAATATTATGTATTCAGATCTCTTTTAAATTTTCATTTTCAGTAAATTTTATCAACATTTTAATAATATGAATAGTACAACTGGTTTAAACATCTTTGAAGATCCGGTCATTCTCGGGTTTAGTCTACGTTTACAGTATTTCTCTTATAGCTAGCGTTAACTTTAGAGTGAGGTATAGCTGTTTATTTAATGTTAGTTCAAATCAAGATACTGGAATATTATCATTTATGTGATGTTATAAGTCATGGATGTTTAGTACTACACATGGCGTAAGAAAGATCCTTGTGGTCGACATAAGAAGAGATACTCTATCTAACCATTCTCATACTGTATTTATTGAGCCTTGTGGTATAATGTAGTGATAATGTTGGACATCATGGAGCTTCCCTTCTACATTTCATATAAATTCGAAGTGTTAACTTTTAAAATAAACACATTTTCAACATCAATGCAATTGTGACAACAGATTTTCAGACAAAAATTAATTATTTTTTTTAGTGTCTATGTTCCGTAAAAGAACGATGTTGAGAAATGTTTTCAACTCAGCTTAAATCATATTTGTGATGTTATCTGCCAGACAGTGTTGACGGGAGAAAGGGAGTCTACTAATGCATCTATGGAAAACGACATATAATCGTTTCTATAGCGTTCATAACATGTTTCTTGCTAAAAACAACTCAGTTTTGTTTTTAACACTGCTTAGGTTTTACAATGTGCCATTGTTAAGTAATACTGGTAACTTTGCGATAGTTAAAAAAATAAATAACGATAACATCGTTGGGCATCGTTAAAGGTATCCTTAAAATAAGCAGCTTGTTATCGTTAAATTACAATAAGCCTGTAATGATACGCTATCGCTTAGTCGAAGTGTATACGATAAATTACTGGCAGCTGGGAGGTTAATTAACGCACAACAGTATATTTAATTCAAGCACAAGAACAGTATATTTGATTAGCGCATAAGAACGGTATATTTGATTAAAGAATAAGAACAGTATATTGGATTAACGCATAAGAACAGTATATTGCATTAGCGCAGAAGAACGGTAAATTTGATTAAAGCATAAGAACAGTATATTTCATTAACGCGTAAGAACAGGATATTTTATTAAAGCTTAAGAACAATATATTTTATGAACGCACAAAATCACTATATTTCATTAAAGCATAAGAATAGTTATTTGATTAAGGCATTAGAACAGTATATTGCATAATGTACAAGTACAATATATTTGACTTGAGCATACGAACAGTATATTTAATTACCGCAAAAGAACAGTATATTTGATTAAAGCATAAGAACAGTATATTTCATTAAAGCATAAGAAAAGTATATTTCATTAACTTATGCTTAGGTGTTGAAAATTGTTTAGAATCTTTGATTGAGGCAAATCGTTCACGGAAATACAATACAAGAATTGGAAACATTTGTGAATAAAAGTAGTTCATAATTAGTAGGCTTATATCACATCACACCATATCCCTTATTACCGCCTATATTACATTCACTTTTTTATTTGAATTTTTTTTTTAAAGTTCTTTTGGCAGATTGTATTCCTTAAAAATTTCAAAAGCCCTTTCGCCTAGTGACCTTTGCGATTATAGGTTGTGACCTCCTTGTACTGACGTAGACTTGGAGACAAACTCACCACCCTATACCCTCTAACCCATCATCACATGCACAACTTGCAGCTCAGTGATTAAAAACAGTGGCATCGGCGAAGTTACACCCAATACCACCGTTTTTACCCTTCGTAACAACTCTAAAACTATCAAGTCACGTGATAATTACACCCAGGTTCGACTTATCTTGAACTTGCACTGAAATCAAACTGGCCAACCTACCATTATCTATAAATAGCAACACATATATCACACAAATTTAAAGTTGTAAAAAAAATCGGGCAGTAAAGAGATGACACCCTAATCTCGTCTAGCACAGTGTTAGCCCCATCAAAAGAGTAATCAAGATTTATGCGACAATAGAGGCCTATAATTGATCTAACGTAGTCCTCTTGATGACACAGGGGCGGCCATGTCTTCTCTTTCATGTTTCCGATACGTGGCGGCCGCCCTTTCATTTTGGGATCCGGCCCTGGACTGTGCGAGTGTGTGTATCGGGTGGTAGGACGCGGTAATGCGGGGGATGTTCGGATGCTGACTATCAAACGACGGGACGACCTAAATCAACTTGTGGTCATGTCATATAACTGAACGCGTCTTCGTGTAACTGTCTCTATTAGATCCCAAGAGGAGATTTTTAGGAGAAGTGGACTAAAGATTTTCATGGTTTTTCTCTTGAGCTTGCAGGACCTTATAATTGGACTTTGACTTTAATCTCATATATGTACATTACACTTCTGGTGTGACTCGTGGAACGTTTCTTAATTCACTGCTTCCTAATTGACTGCTTCATAATTGACTGCTTCATAATCAGCGAAGTTGGCATTGAGAGTATATTACGAATAATTCTAAATTTTTGAAAGAAAGTATTGTTCAATTTTGAGTTCAAAAGCGTGCAAAATATCGTTCCCGAAAACTTCGCTAAATGATATTTTTTTGTTTTGTTTTTTAACGCAAGTTTGTTAACGTATACATTTTTCTTTTCGAAAATGAAATCGGGTCAATTTAAGTTTGGTGTAAAAAATATCCATTTGAAAGTGGTTGGGACATCAGAACACTTCACATAGTTCATGGTCGTGCAATAAAATGTGTGCCGTGACGCATCATGGGCAATGGGTGTGGCAAACATTGGGATTCTTAAACATGCTTTACTTGAGCTCATGTTTTGTCCAGTAACTTAAGTAGATGGGACGTTCACGCATTACTGCTGGCAATGTTTGGCGGGCTAGATCAAGCATGTCAATAATACCCCAGTGGCAGATCACCTTCATGTGTGACAAGTGTTTGGAGTAATACGTTCAGCCTTAACCGTAAACATGGATTGCTTGGAGGCAATAGAGCAGACGGAGGTATTATGACGAATCCTGAAATCAATTGTGATGAAAAACCATCGATGGCTTTCATAAACAACACTTTGAATGGCCCTCATGTTTCCTGTATTAAGTGATGAGAAGTCCAGCAGTTGACATTATTGTTGCATCGCAGGCACTCTGGAATACGTTTTTTAAGAATGATCCGGTCGTTATAGTTCCCAAACTTGACGACTCAGTTATGTGTTCAGAAGTTATCAACACAGTCGCCAATTTTCAAGCCATTAAAGCGTTCAGTTGACATGCGGTAATGTTATAAATATTTAGCAGATTGTGTTTCAAATAAGTGGCACGCTATGTAGCGTCCATTACAGTAAGAATATATTCCTTCCGTGCCTGCTTCCGTTTTAAAATCTGGCGAATGCTGTGGGCGGATGATAATATATTTATATCCAATTCCTCAACTTCAACCTTTGATATTTTAAATGAAATACACTCGTTTAGTTTAAAACCTACATAATGTTGGTGAGCTTGTCTTGTGGGCATGGAACACAGTGCAACGTGATTCAAAAATTCAAAATTTAATACTGAGAATGAAAAGCAAAAAAAAATAAAAAAATATTTAAAAATAAAATGACAAAGTCAATCAATTATCAAGAAATCAAAAGTAGGACACATTCTATGTATCACTCTTAGAGCTCAACGTCTATAAATAGACACTTGGCCAGTTTCACACACATCACCTGTATCCTAAACTTGACTGGCGTCAATATGACTCACCCGATCCCTTCCTTCAGGGCGAATTTGATTCCTGTTGAGTCCAGACCGTTGAGAGCGCTGACCAGACGAGAGTAGACCTCCTGGAGGTTGCCCCCGGGCTGCATCGAGATGATCCTCAGATGATCCTCCTCGTTGACCCACGTCAGGAAGGTCTTCGATTTGTTCAGGAATATGCCGCGCCCAGATGGCCAGTTCCTGTAGGCGCCAGCGGCGTTTAGGAATCTGCAAACGGTCAACGTCTGGAACTGTCACTAGGCACAGCATGTTATTTGGTTTGTAAAAGAGAAAAAAAAACAACCCAAACTCAAGGATGCCACTGGCCCATGAATCATGCTTGGATAGATATCTCTTGTATAGCGCATTTATTAAATAATTCCTGGAAAGATATCTCTTGTATGGCACATTTATTAAGTAATTCCTGGAGAGATATCTCTTGTATAGGGCATTTATTAAATAATTCCTGGAAAGATATGTCTTGTGTAGCGCATATATTAAATAATTCCTGGAAAGATATCTCTTGTATAGCGCATTTATTAAATAATTACTGGAAAGATATCTCTTGTATGGCACATTTATTAAGTAATTCCTGGAAAGATATCTCTTGTATAGCGCATTTATTAAATAATTCCTGGAAAGATATCTCTTGTATAGCGCATGTATTAAATAATTCCTGGAAAGATATCTCTTGTAACGCGCATACATTAAATCATGCTTGGAAAGATATCTCTTGTATAGCATATGTATTAAATCATGCTTGGAAAGATATCTCTTGTATGGCACATGTACTCAATCAGAATATAATAATTTGATTTCACTTTCCCCTCAGATTGTTCTATGACTCAGTTTTCCTTGTAATCTACTGTTATAATAAAGGTTTTTCTCCATAGTTTTGTATTTTGGACGCCTAAAAATATTAAGTAAACGCTAAAATAAAGTTTAAAAATAAAATCAAAATTTTAACATTAATAAATTGATAAAGTCCACAAGCCTTTTACCTTAAAAGAATATTTACATTTACTATGTTTTTTCTTATATTGCTTTAATTAATAACCGACTTTTAATGAATGTAATGAATGATAAATTCTATTTATTACGATACGATAAGATTCTGATGACCATTCAGATACCGCTCTTATGAATGTGTAACAAACTCTTATTCGAAACTGCAACATCCATCAGCTAAACTTTACCACCATGAAAACCTAATAATGTCCTCCATGCCCTTATGATCCACACTGGCCGTTATTATCCACACTGGCCCTAATTATCCACACTGGCCCTTTTTATCCACACTGGCCCTTATTATCCACACTTGCCCTCATGATCCACACCGGCTCCCTTATTTCGTTAGTTACCTGTTGCTGTCGTTAAACAAGAAATGATCTTTGACGAGCTTCTCCTCCTCTTCTTTGCTCATACCAGACAGTGGGTAGTAGGTCCCGGCCAGCTCACCTTTCAGGAGCTTCAAGGCCGCCACGGTCATGCGCTCCATCTGTAACCTGGGGCAGAGAGAGTTGTTACCATGCGTTTGTATCATGAGTTTATTTCATGATTTAGTTTGTATCATGAGTTTTTATCATGAGTCTGTATCATAAATTTGTATTATGGCTTTATACTCAAGATGGCAGAAGCTCCGAGAGACACACTTAAAAGTTCATGAAGAAGAGTTAGAAATATATTTTGCAGCCGAGAAATCTAATCAACTCAAAATGTCAAGCTGTATGTACACGCATCTGTGTCGAGGGTATGAGAATCACTGTTGTTATGTGTAGAGCGTTGTTGTCATGTTTGATAGGGAAAAGATGTTAGTTAGAGATTTTATGTGCAGCCGTATCGTTTGTGTGAGAGTGTTGTGACGTAATGGTGTAGTGGGAAGTGACGCGTTAGTTTTCGTTGTGGTTAGAGAAGATAGATGGCGGATGTGCTACATTGACTGTTGTGAATTGAATACTGCTAAGTGTTGTGCTGAGAGAATTGATGGCGGATATACTGGAAAAAGTGTTTGGATTGGTATATTGATTAATATTTGGTTGGAGTGATTTTATTATCAAATTCTGAAATTATATATCAAGTCTTGTTCATCAAGTAGTGTTAAATAAACTTTTGTGTACAAAAAACCGGTTAATATTTGTTGCATTGGTGACTGTTGCTGTATGATGTACTGCTGAACCGAATGAAGTGAAAGACTTGGCCATACAGAAGAAACGCTTCTCGACAATCTGTATCGGCACCTGTAGACGACTTGAGTGATGTCAAGAACCAGAGTCTAAGACAGTAATCTCAGACCCAGATTGTTTTTTAACCGTCTAATGAAATCTGCATCATTCTAGACCCTATGATAATGGTGTTACCGTGCTTCTAGTTGTACATTTACCAGAAATGGAATTTACATCTCAATAACAAAAAGTCCGATGAGAAGAATGCAAGATAAATGTAAGAAATAGCAATAATTATACAAGTAAATGGTTGCCGTTGCCCGTGTTAAAGCCCTATCATTTAAAAAAGGGTGATTAGATGTAGAATTAGGACATGCTCGTATAGCTAGAGTTATGCTGGAACTGAATGTTAGCCCATGTTCATCTAGTCCGTGTCCAATCTTTCAAGTGAACAACTTGTTGATTCAACCAACTTCATATTTACTTCATATTTACTTCTTTCAACTGATTCAACTGATGCACTACTTCATACTATTTCGGTGCGCTGAGGTGTTCTTACTATTTGAAAGCTACGCATTGTAAGAGCAATCGGTCCCACTTCTTTTAAGTTTGGGATATTGAACGAGTCTGACCTCTTCTCTACAGTGAGCAGCGGCGGGAAGGGGAAGCCGTTATGGCTTCTCGCCACACGGACACGCGTGGACACGATCCGGGTCCCGGATTTGTCCAGGTTTCCACACTTCAACTCGTCGGCGCCAAAGTACGGCTTGGGGTGGTTGAGAACGTCGGTTTTGTGGTAGTCTTTGATGATCTAGGAACACAGAAAAATTAGCACGCAATAAGACTACAATGGAAGACAGGTTCTTTGTTTTTTTTGTTTTTTTGTTCATGAACAAATATTGACATCAAGTTGACAAAACAACCAGTTCTAAGATATTGCAATGTAAGATTGCGTTATTGGGATATCATATCGCAGCAGGGTCTAGGACAGATTTTCACAAGGATTTGCTAAAACAGCACAACTGTTTGATCACGTCTTGTTATTTACTCTTATCATTTGCAAAGGCTCGACATCAACTATTGATAGTCATACTACAACATACTACGGGGATAGAGACTATGGCAACCCGGCTGTGAGGTAGAGGATATTAACTACAATTGTGCACGGCTGTAAGGTACGGGGGATGTAGACTACGAATATGCACGGCTGTAATGTACCGGGGATGTAGACTACGAATAAACACGGCTGTAAGGTACGGGGGATGTAGACTACGAATATGCACGGCTGTAAGGTACGGGGGATGTAGACTACGAATAAACACGGCTGTAAGGTACGGGGGATGTAGACTACGAATATGGACGGCTGTAAGGTACGGGGGATGTAGACTACGAATATGCACGGCTGTAAGGTACGGGGGATGTAGATCTCGAATATGCACGGCTGTAAGGTACGAGGGATGTAGACTTCGAATATGCACGGCTGTAAGAAAAGAGGGATGTAGACTACGAATATGGACGGCTGTAAGGTACGAGGGATGTAGACTACAAATATGCACGGCTGTAAGGTACGAGGGATGTAGACTTTGAATATGCAAGGCTGTAAGATACGAGGGATGTAGATCTCGAATATGCACGGCTGTAAGGTACGAGGGATGTAGACTTCGAATATGCACGGCTGTTAGAAAAGAGGGATGTAGACTACGAATATGGACGGCTGTAAGATATGGGGGATGTAGATTTCGAATATGCACGGCTGTAAGGTACTGGGGATGTAGACTACGAATATGCACGGCTGTAACGTACTGGGGATGTAGACTACGAATATGCACGGCTGTAAGGTACTTGGGATGTAGACTACGAATATGCACGGCTGTAACGTACTGGGGATGTAGACTACGAATATGCACGGCTGTAAGGTACTGGGGATGTAGACTACGAATATGCACGGCTGTAACGTACGGGGGATGTAGACTACGAATATACACGGCTGTAAGGTACTGGGGATGTAGACTACGAATATGCACGACTGTAAGGTACTGGGGATGTAGACTACGAAAATGCACGGCTGTAACATACTGGGGATGTAGACTACGAATATGCACGGCTGTAAAGTACTGGGGATGTAGACTACGAATATGCACGGCTGTAACGTACTGGGGATGTAGACTACGAATATGCACGGCTGTAAGGTACTGGGGATGTAGACTACAAATATGCACGGCTGTAACGTACGGGGGATGTAGACTACGAATATACACGGCTGTAAGGTACTGGGGATGTAGACTACGAATATGCACGGCTGTAAGGTACGAGGGATGTTGAATATGATTCCAAAATAATGTGAAAATATGGGGATGTAGACTACGACTACACACAGCTGTGAGTTACGGGGATATAGACTAAGACTTCACATTCACATAGTCACCTAATCTGAACCCCATTCACATAGTCACCTTATCCTAACAATATTCACATAGTCGCCTAATCCCAGGCTTAGGATTAGCCGATGTAAGTTTCTCACTCACCGGGTCGAAAAGATCACTGAAAGTCGTATACGCTTCCGGGTCACAAGCGTAGATGCCGACACTGCTGTCGAGATTGAGGCACCCCGAGACAATACAGTGAGCAAGTTGGCCGCCGAGCTTGGTCTTCCTCTTCTTCAAGGCGTCGAGTCTTTCTTTGGTCAAATGTTTCTTCAGCAGTGAATTGCAGGCGTTGTTCTGTGTTCAAACACCAAGTACAAGAGATTTGTTTTTCAAAAGGTTATACAGAATTCAGCATTTTTCAAAGTTTTGGTTTGTCATTCATGCACCTTGCCACTAAAATATCATTATTTTGCGTTATTGCTACCACCAAAACATCACTAGATGACGTAAAGGCTACCACCAAAATATCACTACATTGCATCAAAGCAACCACCAAAATATATTTACCTTTCTTCCATGGTACCACAAAAATATCATTACATGACGTTAATGTTCCAAACAATTAAGCTTGCATGAAGGAGGGGACAGTAACGGACACCCTCCCCCCCCCCACAAAACCACCCACTTTATTTTATTTTTTCAAATCTAATTTAAGCACACATGACCAAACATATTCTGTGATGACCACCAGTACAGCCTTTCATGATGTAAAACACTGCAGGCCCATGGCAGATATTTGGTGACCCGACGGACAGTACCATACTTCCACGGACAGTACCATACTTCTATTGGAACCAAAGATTGCCATCTGTCCGCACCATCTTTTCTATCAAGTTCTTTTTCATTGTCAAATTTACCCTATCAGTTATTACATTAACCCCAACCACCAACACATACACACACTTCTCCCGTTGGACCTACCTATAAAAACGTCGATTCACCAACAACATACCAAGGCGTAACAAGGTTTAGTGCAGCCCAGGGCGGTCTGAGTATTTTGACCCGCCTCCACAAAAAAATAAACCCTTTGCATTTGAACATAAACGAACGCACCCCCTTTTCTACGTCACTGTGCATCGAACGCACGCCCTTTCCGGCATCACTGTGCATCGAACGCACCCCCTTCCCTACTTCACTGCGCATTGAACGCACCCCTTTCCTACGTCACTGTGCATTGAACGCATGCCCTTTCCTGCGTCACTGTGCATTGTACACACCCCCTTTCCTACGTCACTGTGCAACAAACGCACCCCTTTCTTACGTCACTGTGCATTGAACGTACGTCCTTTCCTGCGTCACTGTGCATTGTACACACCCCCTTTCCTACGTCACTGTGCAAAAACGCACCCCTTTCTTACGTCACTGTGCATTGTACGCACGCCCTTTCCTACGTCACTGTGCATTGAACGCACCCCTTTCCTTCGTCACTGTGCATTGAACGCACGCCCTTTCCTGCGTCTTCCGTCACTGTGCATTGACCGGACCCCCTTTCCTCCGTCACTGTGCATTGTACGCACGCCCTTTCCTACGTCACTGTGCATTGAACGCTCCCCCTTTCCTACGTCACTGTGCATTGTACGCACGCCCTTTCCTACGTCACTGTGCATTGAACGCTCGCCCTTTCCTACGTCACTGTGCATTGTACGCACGCCCTTTCCTACGTCACTGTGCATTGTACGCACGCCCTTTCCTATGTCACTGTGCATTGTACGCACGCCCTTTCCTACGTCACTGTGCATTGTACGCACGCCCTTTCCTACGTCACTGTGTAACGAGCGTGTAACTTAAACAGTTCATCAAGAAAAAATGGATATTTTCATAGTTGAAGTGGTCATTAGATCTATTTATATAAGTGATATGTTGAAAGTTGAATAGGTCATTAGATCTAATTATGTAAGTGAGATGTTGATAGTTACATTGCAATACATTCCCTCATTTCCAAACTAATATCTCAAATGTTACAAAACATCATCTATTTAAATTTTTTTCTCTCTCCAGAAATTGATTCCAGCCAAAATAAACAAAATTAGCCTCGGGGTTCATAACCCGGTCTTCAACTTTCATATTTTTCTTATGTTAGAATCTTCCATCCTTGTGTCTCAATGGCATATAGCTGTGAGGGATGTTATTAATAAGATGAGATAATTTATTTTTATCGATAAAAAATATATTTTTTTTTAATTCCCCGTACTTATTTTTTTTTGGCATTGGGAATCCTTGTTTGATATTTTCGTTACCAGAGTGATTTTAGGCTTACAGTGACATGTGACAAGTTGATAAGACAATAGACCAAATGGACACATTGTTTCCCCATTCATGTCTCTTAAATAGCGAACTGTACAAGTACAAGCCTCTGACTACTCATCCTCTACATTCTGCCCCTTTCATGTCTCTTAAATAGCGAACTGTACAAGTACAAGCCTCTGACTACTCATCCTCTACATTCTGCCCCTTTGAAAAGTGTTGCCGTACATTTAAAAGACCGGCAAGCCGCTCTGCCTCTTTGATGTTGTTGACCTGTCCAGTGCAGCAGGACATGTTGGAGAAATAGCCCAGGAGAGCACTAGCAGGTTGCGTTTATAATTGAAGAAGATAGTAGCATATGATTGTTATCCTCATACTTATCAAATTGGTGGACGCAACGCACTTCCGGCCAAAATAAAAATAAATAAACCAAACATGTATGAATGACGTCATTTAATGATAATTAATTTCTTTTTAAAAAATACTTTACATTGACTTCACTTTTGTTCGTGGCTGGAAAAAATCTTCGGACGGCTAATTGACACACTTCCCGTCAACTTATCGAGCTGAAACTTGACACATAGACTCCTTGCTGATTGCACATTCTGAAAAGTTTTCAGCCCCAAACCACAAAAATCAATTCTTTTGCTGCCCTCTCGGATACTACTTTTCAGCTAAGTTCTATTTTTTACATTTTATTCTGTTTTTTATATTGTATTTTCGCTGACGAAGGCTTCCTGCGGAGTCGTTCGTTTCTTTGTTGCGCTCCTTTTTTTTTCCGGTTTCCCCCTACTTTGTTTTACTCATTTCCTTTTTTGCTAACCTGATTGCGGTCTATCCACCTTTTCACCATTTAAAAAAAATTCAAATGACATAATGTTCGTAGTTTCTTAAACGTTCAAGTTTTATGATCCCATTAAAAAGTTCGTTTCGCCCAACATGTAATGTAAACCACCGTGTGCTAGGAACATTTATCTAAGATTTCAACCAAAGAACAACAACTGACAAAAGAAAACATGAAGATGTACATTCTTCTGATTTGATGCATCAAAAATAACATAGAAATTCTCATTTACATCTCTTTACTGCAATCAGAAAACTACCTCTTGGATAACATGATAAGCTCTCTGCATTTTTCTCCAAGACTCCGGGTCTCGCCATTTTGCATGCATCAAACACTTGACTTTAAGTCATCAGATATTGATGTTTGAAAAGATCGATCTCTCCCAAGACGAAATACGCTTTCAAGGACTCTCACCCTGCCAAGATGACATACGCAGTCAAAGACACTCACTCTCCCGTGATGACATATGCGGCCAAGGACTCTCACCCTGCCAAGATGACATACGCGGCCAAAGACCTTCACTCTTCCCGGACGATATACGTGGCCAAGGACTCTCAATCCTCTAAAACGACATACCGGGCCGAGGATTCTCACTTTGCCGAGATGACATACGCGGTCAAGGACTCTCACCCTGGCAGGGTGCTACCTTTCTCTTAAATCCAAGATAGTGTAAACTAATGAATACAATCGTGTACACGTGACATGGAAATGAAGCCTTTGTGTACTCAGGTTAATTGGCAATGTGGCGTGGGCCTCGTACATATCTCTCTTATAAAAACACCTTATGATGAACTCCATCTGGGTTGTGTCATAACCATGGGCGCCGGCAGAAAACTTTCTAGGGGGTGTTGGGCAAAAAAAATCGATTAACTTTCAAGGGCAAAATTTTTTTAGTAATGTTTTAATATAGTTTTAATTTACTGTAGCGTATTTGTATGGTGAACGAGCGGACAGGACATCAGCTTAGTGACTTTCTCTTTATTTTCTCTTTACTTTAATACATTTTTTGTCTATTTTTGTCTAAATTTTTTTTATCCAATCAATTGGGGGGGGGGACAAGTGCCGCCCCCCATTGCCCCCCTCCACCTACGGGCGCCCATGGTCATTACGTTGTTTTGTTAATGTGTGATGAACTTCACAAAGCACCTTCTGGTTAAGTGATATGAAAAAGGGCACATTTAACGGACTCTCTAAAAAATTCAGGGTAAACCTTCTCTTTAACTTTTGATAAGAGACGTGATGAATATTCTTCTACTTTTTATAGCTAAATCAAATACGCTGCTGCTGGGGCATTCATCACAAGTCTTTTAAAATATATTTCCCGAATTTTTTTTTTTTTTAATAACTAGATTGTCCGTCTGATATTTTTTAACAAAACCTATCAAAGTTATACACCTAAGATCAAAATAAATATAATCAAGATGACCTAAAAATAGAACGTCGTTTCAAAGCCTTCATATTCATTGACCCACCTCCCGTAAACCTTTCGGTCTGAAACTTGTCACATAGACTCGTTGCCGATGGCAACACATTATCGTTTTAAATGTTCAGCCCCTACCGCAACGCCCGACATTCATTTGTTTCCAGGGTAAGATGCAGGAAATACGATGCCGCTGAGCTCATGAAACAAAGTTCCAGATAACTGCGCCAGATGAGATTCTTGTACAATAATACCGCAAGTTCGTTTTTTCGCTTGAGATTTCCGTTTGTTTCTCTGACATTGTTGATGGAAAAATTATGCCTAAAAGCGGATGGGGGATTAGAATATCATTATCGTTCGGGGACTCGAACAAAAAAAAAAGTGAAGTTTTGAGCATTGTGGGGTTGTGGGGGGGGGGGGGGGGGGGCAGAAACTGGGNTGCATGTTTCGTTAAATATTTGGATTCTTCCGTCAATGTTCGTGATTACATTTTATAAAGTCTTTATTCGAAAACCTTTTTTTTTTTTTTTTTAGGGTGTTGTTTACTTCAATGTTGTACTCTTCCAGAAGAGACGCTTGTACAAAGTTAGATGAGTGTAGCATTGAATAGGAAATATCTACTGGCATTAGAAAACAAATGTGCCTTGCATTCTTAAAATAAATAAATACATCCTTCGTCGGGTCTTTAATGATAGAAACAGATCAAATGAACAAAACAACAACAGGCAAAGTTCAAGACCAATAAAATAATGATTCATGAGTCTTATCATCAGCCATTCAGGGGAAGAAAAATCCCGTAGCTGTCCAGACGTCTACTACACCGTTCTCGATAAATAATCATTACTGAATGGGCGGTGAACACTCAATTATGGCGCTGTTCATTGCATATGGTCTTTAGTTGATGGGATGCAATGGATGGGGGTAATGGCCCGATGGTCAAAACAGTTCCGGGAGACAATGGCCCCGGGCCAGAACGTGTTGGCCAAAACTGAAGGTGGTCATATTAATATCTGGGAACTCACAACTTGAAATGGCTGCACAGAGGTAAAAATGAAATTATCAGAAGTTGCTTTAAAAATAATTAAGTTTATTCGTCGTGTTTAAGTCAAATTACCGTTCGGTTTGAAATCTGAATCATGGCGCAATTAGCACAAGCTCTGAACCATAGTACTATTTGTTTAGCTTCCCTTGCAGAGGCTGATCATAAAAGAGACGTTCGTGATCTCTAGATGCCCTGCTCCAGTCACGGCACACTTCAACAAACATGCTAAAAGACACACTTCCCCACGCATGGTATACGACACACTTCACCCAACAATTATACGGCATGATTCATCCCACACATTGTGCGACACACTTCACCACACATGCTACATAACACACTTCACCACACATGCTACATAACACACTTTACAACACATGCCGCCTAACACACTTTACAACACATCCTACATAACACACATCACCACACATGCTACTTAACACACTTCACCACACATGCTACATAACACACTTTACAACACATGCTACTTAACACTCTTCACCACACATACTACATAACACACTTTACAACACATGCTACTTAACACACTTCACCACACATGCTACATAACACACTTTACAACAAATGCTACTTAACACACTTCACCACACATACTACATAACACACTTTACAACACATACTACATAACACATTTTGCAACACATGCTACATAACACACTTTAGAACACATGCTACATAACACACTTTGAAACACTTGCTACATTACGTAACACACTTTACAACACATGCTACATAACACACTTCACCACACATACTACATAACACACTTTACAACACATGCTACATAACACACTTTGCAACACATGCTACATAACACACTTTACAACACATCCTACATAACACACATCACCACACATGCTACTTAACACACTTCACCACCCATGCTACATAACACACTTTACAACACATGCTACTTAACACACTTCACCACACATACTACATAACAAACTTTACAACACATGCTACTTAACACATTTCACCACACATGCTACATAACACACTTTACAACAAATGCTACTTAACACACTTCACCACACATACTACATAACACACTTTACAACACATACTACATAACACATTTTGCAACACATGCTACATAACACACTTTAGAACACATGCTACATAACACACTTTGAAACACTTGCTACATAACACACTTTACAACACATGCTACATAACACACTTTACAACACATGCTACATAACACACTTTGCAACACATGCTACATTACAGACTTCACCACACATGCTACATAACACACTTTGCAACACATGCTACATAACACACTTTGCAAAACATACTACATAACACACTTTACAACACATACTACATAACAAACTTTACAACACATGCTACATAACACTTTGCAACACATGCTACATAACACACTTTACAACACATGCTACATAACACACTTTACAACACATGCTACATAACACACTTTACAACACATGCTACGTAACACACTTTACAAGACATACTACATAACACACTTTACAACACATGCTACATAACACACTTTACAAAACATGCTACATAACACACTTTACAACACATGCTACGTAACACACTTTACAACACATACTACATAACACACTTTACAACACATGCTACATAACACTTTACAACACATGCTACGTAACACACTTCACCGCACATACTACATAACACACTTTGCAACACATGCTACATAACACACTTTGCAACACATGCTACTTAACACACTTCACCACACATACTACATAACACACTTTACAACACATGCTACTTAACACACTTCACCACACATGCTACATAACACACTTTACAACAAATGCTACTTAACACACTTCACCACACATACTACATAACACACTTTACAACACATACTACATAACACATTTTGCAACACATGCTACATAACACACTTTAGAACACATGCTACATAACACACTTTGAAACACTTGCTACATTGCTACATAACACACTTTACAA